GAAGAAGCAATGGAGGAGGACTCCTTAGTTAGGAGCTTGTTAATACCCTCTTCCAATGATCAGTTTCCTTTGTCACAAAATACAAAGCTATAATGTCCATATGCTGCTACTTGAGCTAAAAACATGCCTGTAGGATTAAATAATCAACCAGTTAGAGATAACATCATGTCCAAAAAATAGGCAGGTTCAGGAGAAATGTAAGATCTGTTGTTCACAAATGTATACATGGGAAGAAAATCACCCCTACCTTGTCTGAGAAAGTCTGTTGTCCTCAAACTAAACGCCACCATATCTGTTATGGTTGTTTTCCCCTCTTTGTTTCATTTATTTATTTATTTATTTCTTTTATCTTGCTTCTTGGTTTACAAAGCATATGATTCTTGGGCCGAAATGGATCCCTAAGAATTCGTAAAATTGGGATGCAGCAGCATTTCCGTTTGCCTTCTTGATTTTATTTTTTTAATTTTTTAAATATAATAACGTTTATATTAAATTATCCTATAATAATTATTGAAGGACGAGTCTCATTATCTATAATTTATTTTTTTAATAATTTATATTTTATAATTTGTTGCAGTGGAGACTATAAAATAAGTTTGCCTTATTTTTAGCAGTCCGAAAAAAAAGGGGCTCTGGATTCTGGACCTGGAGTTTGGACCCGGTATTGTGTTAAAAAAAGAAAAAGAAAAATTAATTTATTTTTATTTAAGTTGAATGTGTAGAAACACGTGTCCGACCCTGGTTTGACTTGATTTCCCCATTTTTTATCCGAACGGTCAGAAAAGCTACGTTCTTCGCCTCACCCTGCCTTCCCTTAGCTGCACGCTTTTACTCTTCGCAATCTCTAGTGGCGAAGACTGCCGGCTGTCTCTCCGATCCTCTCTTCCAACCCTCGATCCCCGCTCTCTCGGCGGATCTCTAAGTCGTGGTAAAATTTTTTCATTTCATCGTTCGCGATTGACTTCTGAATTTTTCATTGGTTTTCCGTATTTTCTTGGATAAAAATCGTCGATTAGGGTTTAGGTGTTTAGGAATTTGATATTTCTGCAGATACATGCAATTTTTTTCATTTTTCTGTTTGATACCAGTTACTCGTGAAAAATATTAGGGTTTCGCGATCCTGACGAGATGGTGTTACTTTCTGTTATTTATATGACGAACTAACTTTGAAAAATTGAAGAATTTTGGGATGGCAACATATTTTCTTTGGTGCTGAATTGCCTATAACATCTTTTTTTTTTTTATCTGAATTTATTATTTTTGGGTAATGGTATCTATGACTGAAGAGCTTCCAGCTTGTTTAAATAATTCCAAACTCTTTGTTGTTTCCTTCAATTCTTCATTTGATTTTGGCTGTCTTTATTCACCCTGCAATGCAGAAACAATCAGTTGTGGAGAAGCCTTTCATCCTTCTGCAATAGGTTTTAGTGCAAAAATCATGTAATGCGCAAAAAATATATATGGTAAAAATGTTAAATCAGCCTCCAAA